GGGGGGGGGGGGGGGGTATATACAAGGGCTCACATCAACATATTTATATGATTTAATCGAGAAAAGAACGTCTGATGACAAAATAGATCATTGCTTCTCACACTATAACTACAGTATTAAAATGTGCACCAATTCAGGCACGATATTGCTCAATTGTTACCCCCATTAAACCAAATGCAATTTATTCTATCACTGCCACTTGATCTATCAGCAGCAGTATTAAATAGAGGTCTGTAAAATTTGCAGTTTTATATATATACTGTAGCTCTGAGTCACGTGATACCTTCGTACAATGGCTCTAGTTCGTTTTGATGGCAATTGGCTCTCTTGTTTCTATTTGTTTGTTTACAATTGATGGAAATTTTATTTGAGTTGCCTGTTGCCACACCGTGACCAACACGCAAAGTGTCTGATAAATATATTGATCAGCTACAAGCGTGAACACAATGATTCCCAACACCAAATATGCACTGTCCATAGTGGAAAGTTGGGCACTTTAACGGGAGATCTCCCGCGGCAGGCAAAGGTAAAAAACTGCTGATGCGACAAAATCGTGCGGCAGAAAAACTGTAAAATTGATAGTGCGGCAGAATTCTGCGGCAGAAAAAGTTTAGAAAATACCTGCGGCACAATTTGGGTGACACGTCAGTGGTGTGTTGTATCAACACATCTTAAGATGTATTCATTATTCGACAAAAAAGCTGTGATCATTTTACTGAGCACATCTTTTTTAAGAGTGAAGGCTTCAATGTTAACTGTTTAGTGATCAACGGTATTGCGTGTAGTCTTGAATTTTTACCTGCGGCAGCGTTGCATTTTTGGCATTGCGGCAGGATAGAATTGTGTTCTTGTCAACTGCGGCAGTCTCCTGCGGCGGCCAAAGCGTACTTTCCACTATGGTGCACTGTCAGATTTATAAAATCAAACGTGAGCCTATATAAATTAATAAATATAATAGAAGAACAAATCGTCAAATCTCCTGAAAATGCTTCTTAAACTAAAAGGATCGTAGATAATACTTTGATCTTACCTTAAAAAATGACTTTACAAGAAGATATAATTCTTAAAAATCGCAATATTTGCTAAATACTTGCCAACTTGTAAGTTTCGCCCTCGTGCTAAATCTTGGCAAATCCCGAAGAGCAGCCGGTAGCTTCCGTAAGGACCCGTCGAATATCTTCTACGTCACAAAACGTCATAAAACTGAACATCCAAACATTGCTAAATCCAAATCATTGTCGCATTCATATAGCTCGGTAAAGAGGTCTGGGAACAATTCACAAGAATAGGAAGCTGCCTGCGGCAGCAATTAAGAGCTTCCCGTGAGTTAGTTTAATAGTTTGATGTTTGTTTACGGTTTATTTGTGCGAAATCATACACACCTTGTAATTTTCGCTTTACCTGAAGTGCCAGTGCAAAATATTTTTGCTTTGGAAGTAGAAATATACAGTTTTTCGTCACTTAATTTAGTATCGACTGCATGTCATGTCGTTTCTATAGCCTTGATTCCACGAGCGCTTTTTGTCAGCGAAATGCGAAATATTTCGCCTGTTTCTTTTGAATTGCGACCACTCGAATAAATTATTTCTACTTGATTGCTCACAATTCAAAAGAAACAGGCGAAATATTTCGCATTTCGCTGACAAAAAGCGCTCGTGGAATCAGGCCTTATCATAGGCGGTGTCTACTGTATTATAATAGTACATGGTTTGGCGTAACTGTTGCTATAAAGAAGCCATAAAGAAAGGGTATGCAAAAGAAAGGGCGATAGAAAGTCTGTAGTAGCAGATATTTAACCGAAAAAATCTCGTAGTCGTACCAGATTTAATTCGTAGCCCTAGCGAATCAGTTCTAAAGTTCCCTATTTAATGTTGTTGATTTCATGTTTATACTAAAGTATATTTTAATACTCAGTTTAGTGTGCATTATTTTATTACTTTAGACATCTCTTTTATTAATAGCAAAGTCCAAAGCCAAAGAAGCTAGGATTGTTTACTATAATCTATTGACCACATATTCAACTTATAAAATACGGATTTATTAGGAATGTAATTAATTAAAACTAATACTTTCAAATTTAAACTTTTTTAAAAAATGTCAAAGATAAACTACAAACTATATAAAATCTCAAATATAAAATCTTCCGTTGACCAGTAAAACTATTTTGTTTTGACAATACAACAAAAATATGTTATTATAAAAACAACATTTTTATTTATCTATTTTTAAATATTCAGTTTTGTAAAATAGAGAACCGCCCTTTAACACTGTGTTAATTATTAAATAGTCTAACACTGTCTGGTAAACTATTGCTTCTCTCAGTCATAAATTTAACAACAGACGCTCTCACTGAAAACGACATGGCGTCCCAGACTCATATTAAGTATATTTTGAGCATGATCCATCTGCTTATACTGTCGATTAAACTCAAGAAGAGGTTAAAATGTAGAGGCCGGCTTATAGCAAAGCGGTATAAAACGCCAAGTTCTTCTTCAGCGAGTTAGCGATTGCTTTTAATAGTTCGGGAAAGCATCGTTTGCTGGATGTATTGACGGGGGAAAATGGTTAGCTGCGAAAGTTCTTGGAGAAAAACCAGCACAGTCCGCAGTCAATAACAATCAACACATTGCTACTGCAGACATTCCCGTCCCGTCCGACTTTTCAATTCCCTGTTTCGGCAGTTTTCTTAGTATCTTGAATCACTTGGACATGTTCCCAGCAACAGTGCTTAGCATTAACCATGTTTGTAATTTGGGATAAATTTGAATTCGTTTTAGCACAGATAAAATAAATAAAAACGTCAATTTAGACCAATTTATGTTCGCTGCTAGTACAATTCTATACAAAATGTTAGTTTGTTTGTCGGAGTCTCGTGGGGGGTCTTCACTTGGAGAATCTATTTTTAGCTACTGCGGACAACGCTATTGTCTGAACGAAAATATAGACTAGCCCATACCTTTCGCCGATTAGCCTGCGAACAGGCTCTCAAGCTGAATTGAGAGCCTGCATCGATCACTAATAAATTTGAATATCTGCGTCTCAAATCGTGACGCGAAATTCTCATTGGTCAGATGCTATAATTTATATGTTTCCGCTGAGCTCTATATATGTCAACTGCTAAGCAAGCACTATGCATAAAAAACACATTAACTGATCAAATTGGTCTTGGCCATCTTATCTCAAAGCACGAAATGTTCTGTTTCGAGAAAACAATATTTAAAACATTTAAACTTTTGCTTGAATATTTTATATTTCGAAAAACAGTATAAACTGTACGGTCTAAATTTAGTTTGCACGGTCTAAATTTAGTTTGCACAAAAGTTGTAAACAACACGATATAAGGATAGACATTCCATATTTGGAAAAACGAACGTTACGGGGCAGATATTCAAATTCATTAGTGATCGATGCAGGCTCTCAATTCAGCTTGAGAGCCTGTTCGCAGGCTATTCGCCGATCATAACTTCGGCCCCTTCGGACGTATCTTCTTTGTTAAATATTCTTGTTCGAATCTCTATCAAAAACACTATTTAGAGTGTTATTTTTCAGCTTGTATCTTTTAATTTGCTTCTTTTATTATGTTATTCCATTTCTGGTCTGACTTGACGTGAACTAATTTCAAAACGCAGAGTTTCAAAACGTCAAAACATTTGGTTAATGATTAACATTTAACCGAATTTAGCCGTTGATTGACAACTACATAAAAATACTAACCAATTCGTTTTTCCCGTTCACCAGCGGACGGGTAATTCCAGGGGCGAAACTTGAGGGTGTGTGTGGGGGGGTGTTACACCCCCCCAAAATACGAATCATTCCGATTGGCAGGGCAATCAAAGGTCTCTTATAAATAAATGATAGCACATAGGCCTACCGGGCGGGGGCAATATTCGATCAACAGTCGGGCAATTTTGGTTTGAAAAAAAAAATGGGACAAATTCAGTCAATTTTATCTAAAATTAAGTGAATTTTTTTCGCAAATTGTGTGATTTTTCGAAAATTTGTGCTATGTTCCAAAAAATATAGGTTGTCCGGAAAATTTTTTTGACCCCTAGAATGGTATACAGACCGAAATTTTTTTGGCGACGGGGGGGGCGTCGCCAAAATAATTTTTCCGGAAAAAATTTTTTGGTACTTTTTGGCAGGGCATCACTGGTTGTGGCAGGGCAATTCTGCCAGACACCCCCCTAATTAAAAGGGGCTAGTTTCGCCCCTGGGTAATTCAAAAACCCCTAGTTTTGCGGCAGACGGTATTTCCTTTGCCTTCCTAATTTTCGCTGCCTGTAGAAATACCGCCTGCCGCGCAGGCTAAGCCTCTGCCTGACAACGGCCTGCGAGCAGGCTAACAAAGACCAAGCGCCAAGTTCAATCCTTCGGGAGCAAACATTCAAATGGGATGATATTTATTCAAATTTTCTACTTATAAAGTTCCAATGGAATTTGTTTTCAAAGGTATGTTTATTGTGTATTTACTTATTTGTGTGCGGAAAGTTACTTGATATACTGTATGTAGCTATAGCTATATTTTTAAATCGAAGACGAAGGCCTGTATTTTAGTCGCTTCGCCGCCGATTTGCCGATCTAGACGTTCAGTTTTAATTTTCGATTAATTTGTATTAGCAGAAGTCCATAAGTCTAATCTACAGTCTCTACTTATTTGTGTTGTTAGCCCCGTTTACACGAGCAAATTTTATTTGACAAATTTCATTTCATCAAAAGCATTTGTTGTTCAAATAAATTTGTCACAAATTTATCATCTACACGAGCAAAATATCTCTGACATATGAAATTTGTCAAATAAAATTTGCTCGTGTAAACGGGGCTTTATTTGTGTGATATACATGTATGTTGTATTTCGTGCTAAATATGTATACTTTTAATATATATGTGATCTGTTTGAAATGCAGCATTGCAATTTGACAGCATTGCATTGCAGCATTCTAATATTACCCAGTGTATGGCATGTGCTTGCTATGGCCCTCCTATCGGCTATCAGTCAGTCTAAAGCATGTGTAAGGGGCTGCTTATATAGAGGCGAGCCACCCAGGTAACCTGGCTATAGCTCGCTTTCCCTGGATGAATGTCTGGTTACATGAGCCTCTTTAGATGGGCAGGCTTGCAAAAACAAATCACCCAGACTGAGTTATATAGTACAAGCACATTTCCCAATAAAGTGAACCAACAAGTGATCAATCACTCATACTTTTGCAGACAGTCTCGAAATGTATAAACTGACAAAAACTATCACAGAGATCTTTTTACCCAGCTGGGCCCAGGGGTAATACCGTGCCAAATCGTGGGTGATTGTATATAATTTATATGGAAAATCCTAGCTTGGCATTAGCAAGATTTTGGGACAATGAATTTTGGGTCAATTATGCACCTCTATTTTAAACACCCTTTACCAGAAAAGTTGTATTCATTTGGATGATGTTAGTTCAATTGCATGCTTACATTAAATGAGTAAAAGCATTTGAATTTTGTGTTTCTTGCTTTGTATGTATGCAAACAACCAAAAATAGCAAATTCATTGTCAATCAATCAATAATTTTTATTTTGTGTGTGTTGGTGTTATGTACTCAGGTGAATATATCATGATTGTGATGTTACTGTGAGTGTACATCCACACCGGGCAAGCTGAAAAGTTAGCTTGGCCACAGTGGGAATCGAACCTGTGACCGTGGCCAAGCTAACTTTTCAGCTTGCCCAGTGTGGATGCACACTCAGTGAGAGTCAGTGGCGTAGCCAGCCCGACAATTTAGTCCCGCTATGCAAATTCAAAATTATTATCATTATTCATTTCTCTAGAAATTTATAATTGTTTTCACAGTCAATGAACATGAAAATATTTGCATAGCGGGACCAAATAGTCGGGCTGGCTACGCTACTGGTGAGAGTAACATCACAAACATCATATATTCACCTGAGTACATGACACCAACACACACAAAATAATCGTATCATTGAATACCCCTGTACACTGATATCGAAGGAACTAGACTCAGTTCCAAAATATCATCAACTCGAACAGACTTGACCATGTAGCTCAGTTGGGAGAGCATTGGACTAGTATCCCAAAGGCCGCAGGTTCAATTCCCACCGTGCCCAAACTAACTTTTCAGCTTGCCTGGTGTGGATGCACACTCAGAGTAATATCACAAACATCAATCAATAATTTGCTGCTGTTATATATCAACCTTATATATTTTTTTCTTACTAGGGATTCTCATTAATATATGGATTTAACAAAAGCTTCCCAGGAGAAGGCAAGTTGTCAAAACAAGTGGTATTATATGTAATCATTAATGGCATTCTAAGAACTTCATGGTCTGTTTGGAAAATGTTATTCTTTTGCTGGAGAGCATTTTTGTGAATTACCAAACCATACAAGGGATGGAGTTGCCGACTTGTGGTATACAGCTTGTTTAAGTTGTTTTGTACTAAATTGTTACTAATGGACTTGCTTGACATGTTTGATTGAGAAGTGACACTACATACATTTAATACATGCAGTATATTTTACTTGTAAAGATTCTACATTGAACAGAATATTTTAACCCTTTAAGTGGCAACTTGCTTTACTTTTTTATTTTTTCTGTCTAATGTGGTCAGACAATTTTTGCTCATTAAGGAGAGAGTGCTGCCACTTAATGGGTTAAAGCTTTTCTGTAAATGTAAATTTTTTGAACGATAACTATGTAATAGCCGGTACTGTGCTGGGAATGGAACTGCTGCCCTACAGGTGATTCTGATCAGCTTTTTAACCGTCAAAGGTCCTGAAGCCCTAAGAGTCCATCGCCCTGACAGTCAATCAAGCTCTACTGTAACCAAGAGTTCATGTATATAATACTAGTGTCATCCTGGGCAGTTTATTTAATACACTACCAATGACACCACCATGGTATACATACAGCAACTTGTGCTTACCTCTTGGCAAAAGAGCTCTTTAGGTCAGAGGGCTGCGGTAGAATTGCAGGGCTGCAGGTTCAATTCATGCTGACAGGCTTGTAATTGTATTGCACATGTATTCATGATATTATTCTAATCATGTATTCATGATATCATTCTAATCAATTTAGAACTTCATTAAAATATTATAGGGCATAAGAGTATATCATTATATTATATATTATGCTACAGCAAATTGTATTTCCTGCTATAATATACCTTACTTGTAGGGATAATAAATTATTTTGACTTTTGATTATTTTGATAAATTATTAAAGACTTTTCTTTACTCCGATATATAGAAGTCATTTTGTCTCCAAAGGAGTCGAATTGACTCCAAAAGTGGAGTAAATAAAAAAGGTACAGAACGACTCCTTTTTTGGAGTAAATTTTACTCCTTTATTTACTCCATTTTTGGTGTAAATTTTACTCCTTAAGTAGAGTTGTTTTTACTCTTTGAGGAGTAAAAACAACTCTACTTATGGAGTAAAATTTACTGTACACTTGTATTTCTCTGGGTTATATCAATAATAGTGTTTATATTAAATGTCTCGACGTATGAGTTATAATGAGCAACGAAGTGCAAATTAAAATAATTCATGTGTCGGAAATGTTATATTATCAGCATGAGTAGAGATACCATTCATTCCAGTCATTATTTAGACTTGCTCCCACGTCTTCCTCTCAAAAGGATTTTTAATATTTAATGTGGGAGTTAAATGAAAGGAAAGGAGTCAAAGGAGCTTAATTAAGCCTGGTTCACATATATGCCGGCGACGATACCGGTGGTAGCTTAAAAGGTAAATTATGTGAATATTTGTTCACCGATTGCCTCCAGTGCCACAGTTACATCGGCGGTAGGCCGGGAAAGTTGACTTGAGTTCAACTTTGCCGGTATTTCGGAGGCAAGTAGAGGTATAATGATACAGTCGCAGGCATACGGCAGGCATATGTGAACCAGGCTTTACCGAGCGGGGGTGTCTCGTATGCTAATTTCAAAATAGCAAAAACAAAGAATGGACATGGGGAGCCACAGTTCAAAATTTGACTCACAATTCGAGAAAAAGACCCCAAAACACAGACCCAAAATCACAGGAGGCCCAGGCTCTATTTGCCCGTGTCTGCGCGTGACTTCCTTATAAGGAGGGAAGGAAAGAAGGATGCAACCTAAATAGCCCGGTGTCACAGGAGATTCTTACCCCCCCCCCCCAGGAGATTCGCCCCCTCTCAAAAAGGGGGCGATATTCCTAGGATAATTGCTCGACTCCCCGGGGCGAATCTCTTAGGAATATCGCCCCCCTTTTTAGGAATTTCGCCCCCCCCCCCATATAAATTTTGAATTTTTATCTAAAACCAAAACGATTGC